TCAAAAATTTAAAAGAAAAGATAATACTTTAGACACTTTTCAGCTCTCTCCTCTCAGGCCCCACAGAGACCTAACTAGGTTTGTAACCATCTTTGAGAGCACACAACTGCTGTTCATGAGTGGTATTTCCAAGCCGAAACATAAATTGACCAAGGCAAGCTGGTAACCCTTTTGAATTTGATCTATATTTTCGTACACTAATGAATTGAGATTTTAAATAAATATTTAACCCTGTCAGTTTCTCCCCTAATAACAATGGTAAAGTATTCTAACTTCTCAAGTTGTCTTTCTTGGACCAATGTCAATACTTGTGTTCCAATTTTTTCCCCACCTCTCCCAAATATACCCTTTGAACCAATCTGTGTTAAGTCACTAGATACTTTTTAAATATGGTACATTTTTACTAAGTAGAATAACAAATAAATTTTAGTAGTAATAAAATGTATACATTAACAGAAAATCTTCAAATATTGATAAATGAAGTCTTACTATCATTTTAACAGACAAGATTCTCCCATTTCTCAGCTTCTTTGGCATTTTTAAAAATGTTTTCCCTGTTTCATTTTTGATATTGTGGGGTTTTTTTCTTTCTTTTTTAAATTTATTGAACCATAACTGATTGTACATATCTTTGGGGTACAGCATTGAATGTCAGTGACTGTGTGCAATATGTCACGTTCAAATCAGGATAATCAGTATATTCAATATTACACAATGTTATCATTTTTTGTGGCCCTTTACCAATTTCTCATTAACCCTCCCACTGGGTTTTTGTTGAGTGCAGTGTCAGTAAATAGAAGACGGACTGTGAAGTAAGATGTTTGCTGCTACTTTACATAATAGGAAAATATAAATTAATTTTAGGTTATTTTCTCAGGCTTAGTATCAATATTATATTTTTTCATATCTTTCATGACAAGATCTTATTGGGAGATAAAAATGTGTTAGAATGATGGAGGGAAAAAATGGACAGGAAGTAATATTCTGGAAAGAAATTTTATTGAGACTACCTTATTCCGAGAACTGTGTTTACACCTATGTCCATTACACTAACCTGAAGAGGTCAGTGTTTAGGAATTAGTAATATAAAAGAATACTTCAAAAAATTCATGGAAAGGTTTATATATCTTTTAATCCCGTTCTTCCATGAGCTTTTTGAAGTACCCTCTTGGATTGAAAAGTCATTCTATTCCAAGCCCCTGGGCTTCTACTGTATTTGGTATGTCATTAAATAAATAGCTCCGGTAATAATGTGGATAGAGAAAATATTAATGGATTCTATTCGTTTCATCCTTATACATAAGACACTTTTTGAGCACCTACTATGTGTAATGCATACGAATTACAATGTTGGGTATCTGCTGTATTGATAATTCTGTGATGACTACTTCATCCCTAATTTCATATGCATACAAAAAACTAAAATGGAGCACTAAAGCATCCCTAGGCCAAGTAATATGATGGCCCAAGCAATGTATTCTTGGACATAAGCTGTAGTATAAAATACTTTTTGGTAGAAAAACTGCCTCTTTCATAGCAATTGGGTTTAGATTTATGAATGTTGCCAGTGAGGCGTTATCTAGATAGAAACAGCTATTCTGTCATATATTTTATGGAAATTAGTTTTCAAAACAGTGAGGTTTCTATAGTTAGAAATTGGAATTCTCATATGGCAGTTTAACCTTGTAGACAGTTACACTTGATCATATTCTGTTGCCAAAAACTATCAGTATTAAGTATGTGGGTAAAACTAATCCTTTCAGTTGTGAGATAGGTATAAGCATATGCAATTATTAAGAGTTCTCACTATGGGCTTTCCTTTGAGCTACACTCTAGCATGAAAATAACTTTCTTGGAAAAAAAAAGTCACTGTTGCTTAGTCCTGTTGAATTCCAAAAGCATTTTATATTCATTGAATTTATAACCTTGACTTTCATGGAGATCATCTGAGTTTACTTCTTATCATGGGGAAAGAAAAAAGAAGTATTGCTAGAGGCTTGCTAATTAAAATCCTCCAATATGCAAGTATAGATGAAAGTGATTTAAAATCTCATTCAATTAAAAGGGAATCTACTTCAAAAACTACCCTAAAATAGAATCTGTGTAGACACTCAAATATTTAAAATTTATTTATATGAAATCTCCTGGAATTTCACATTTGGGTAGTTGAAGCATGCATGCCATGAGAGTTAATCCTACCTATTTCTAGTTGTTCTCTTTTCATTTGGAAGCACATGAAATCATTTTGTGACTCAAGTTTCTTTGTAAAGTTAAATAATACTTGTGGCCTCTCTTTAGTCCTTTGTTTACTTTTTACTGTGTTCTTAATACTGAATTGGTGATCAAACCTCCTTAGAAATGATTGTAGAATTAAAATTATGTTAAAAAATAAACAATTAATTGTTTAACAATCTCAATTGGAGCAAGTATTTTAAACTCCAGAAGGATCATTCCTGATAACTCTTAGATTTGGTATATTCTCTCTTGTCAATAAGTATTATTGGGGGAATTTAAACTCATTCTAATACTAATCTAAGAGAAATATAAATACAAAATTGAGAGAGACAGCAATCAAGGAAACAATGTTGTGAAAAGCCTGGAGACTGGAGAGATGTCTGGTGGAGTTAAAAGATGTGTTTATAAAGGACACTGTGTGCCTTTTCCATTTTAATGTAAAAAGAGAAGGGAAAAGGTAAGAATTCATGCAGAGATAGTTACAGAAAATTGAAGGCGTTGTCATTCATTTCTTTCTATTTTTTTTTTTTTCCTGGTGGTGGGATGGGAAGAGAAGTTTGAAGGCAGGTGGAGAAATTTTGAAAAGGCTCTTATGCAGAATGAGAGTGAGAAGAAAATGCCGAAGAATGACCAGGCAGTGTGAGAACTTGGTTGAAGATAGAGACTACACATTAAAGTGTCACCAGTGTGGTATTAGTATTTTCTTCATCTTTGCTTGGTAGTCCTGTTTTAAGTACAGAGAAGGAAAACAGTTGGACTGACCTGAGTCTGAAGTTTTGTCAGGCTGGCACAGCAGAAGAACGCTGGAATGAAGTGGTCAACTATACTGGCAAGACAGTGGTTGGAGTGATGGACAAGGGAGGCTAAACTGGTTAGGACAGGGACTTATTTTGCATTAGCAAAGGCATAACTATTATTGGAGAAGATGGAGTAGTCTGTGTAGACAGAATCGAAGATGCAGGAGAGGGAAGGGTGGGAGGGAAAACAAGTAAGGGAGGAGGTTCTCAGCCTTGACTGTACATTGGAATCACCTGGGGGTCTTTGAAAACTGCCGATGCAATGCCTGGTCTCATCCCCTGAGATTATAGTTGAATTGATCTGTGGTATGTCCTGGGCAATGGAATTATATTTTACAGTCAAGGTTGAAAACTATTGTTTAGAGGCTTTCATAAAAAGATATTACTTTTTTGCAGAGTAAAATAAAATATTATTTTTATTTTCAAGGCAATGGAGAATGAGCAAAGATTTTAAAAAGAGGACTAATGTAAGTTATATATTTTATAAAATTATCTTTCTTTTCCAGAGTGATTGACAGATATCAAAAGAGAACAATTAGAAAAAAGGGAGACAAGAAGAGAGAATATTGCATAATTGTAGGGGGCCAGGAACAGTGAGATCTTAAATGAAGGACTAAAAAAGGAATTGTAGATTAGGGGACATATTTGTGTGTTTCAATATAAGAATTTATCATACATAGTAACCTATACATAAAATGACAGAGGAGAGTCTAAGATAACTCGAGATTCTTATTGTGGATAATTTCTTAGTTTTTGATTGCTGCATGACAAATTACCACTGACTTCACATCTCCACAACCTTTATTATCTCACAGTTTCCATGGATCACGAGTCCAGGCATGACTTCTGTAGATTCACTGTTTAAGAGTCTTACCAGGCTACGGTTAAGGTGTGGGCCAATGTTGAGATCTCATCAGAGGCTTGAATGGGGAGAGATCCTCATCTGAGCTCCTGCGTGTTTTTGGCAGAATTCATCTCCATGCAGCTATAGAACTGAGGTATCCGTTTTTTTGCTAGCTGACAGCCAGCGACAGCCCTCAGGTCCCATGACAGTTCCCTGCCATGTGAACCCCTCCATCAGCATTTCATAGCATGGCTGTTTGCTTGTTTAAAGCCAGCAGGAGAATCTCTCTCTTTACAAAAAGGCCCAGTCCCTCTTCTAAGAGTTTTCATCTGATTTAGTTAGGCCCACCCAGGCTAATCTCAGTTTTGATTTACTTAAACTTATCAACGGATTTGGCACATTAATTATGTCTGTTAGTTTTCCTCACCTTTGCCACATCCCATAACCTAATAATAGGAGTGGCATGCTATCACATTCACAGTTCCTGCCCACACTCAAGGGGAAGAGATTATACAGGCATGTACAACAGCATATAGAAATCCAATGACATTGCAGTTAATTGAGATGAGAAATCCAGTTTTAGGAGAAAATTGATGGTCTCCATTTTAGACACGTTCAACTTGGGGTAATTGGGCATCAATTAGATTGTTTCAGTGGGTGGCATAGAATTCAGTAGAGAAATCAGCACTGGACATATATATTTGATAGTGATCAGTAGAGGTAATAGTAAAGAATGACTATTATGCTCCCTGTTCTAGACAATGAATTGTAGGAGTTGTAATATGGGGAACATGAGGCTCCGTGAGGAGACTGAGTACTCTCTTTAGCTCTGAACTGCTTCACGTTTCCTCTTATCAGAAACCAGAACTAACTGTGTACTTTTTCCTGTTCCTTTCATCCCAGAATTGCCTATGAAGTAAGCAGAATGGCATGAATTTGAATGCAGATGTCATCATTTACCTATCTCTTAAAACTCTGGTCTGTTTATCTGAGTAGAAAATTGTTGAAGTTGCTGCAGCGATATTGTTGAGAAATCTGAGCTATCACAATGGAAACAGAAGGTGACTCGATTCAGTACGTTTTGACGAGACTTTCCTTTCTTTTCTTAAATCTTTTTCTTTCAGGGTATATTCAAGAAGAATGTGTTATCCCCTGCCCATTTGATTGCAAGTTAAGTGATTGGTCTAGTTGGGGGTCTTGCAGTTCATCTTGTGGGATTGGAGTGAGAATTCGATCCAAGTGGCTAAAAGAAAAACCTTACAATGGAGGTCGACCATGTCCCAAACTGGATCTCAAGAATCAGGTAAAGTGCATGAAACAACAAATAAAAAGCTAAAAAAAACTATCTCCATTATTATTTCCTGTTGAAATTGAAGTCATTCTCTTATTACAATTAGCTCATGAAAAATTATCACAAACTCAGAAGAGGGGTTAAAAGGGCAGAAGTTACGTAAATAAAATTAGTAATAGAAGCTTTGCCTGCTCCTGGATAATGTCAAGATCAGCTTGGTATCCTTAGCAATAATAATATTTACAAAATTAAATCCAATGGATTTTTAAATGATCTTGAACTATAATTTGATGTTATAAATATTATGTATATATATTTAAATATAAATAATAATGTTGGGAGAACGTTAATTATTTTACGGTGATATAATTAGTGGTCTTATCCACCAGCTCCAAAAATGGTGCCCTATTTTTCCATCACCTAATTCTTTATCCTAATTTTTTTCATTCTTAGTCTTGCCAGTTCTTCCACAACTCTTCAAGTCTCTTTTGACTATTTCTTTACCCAAAAGGCATAGCCTATGTTCATAAATGAAATCCTTATGGATACCTTTTCATATAGATATCTAATAAAATTGCCATTCTAAGCAATCAAAGTTGACTAGAGTATTTCAATTTGCTGTACCCATATAACAAGAGTCTAATATTTAGTTAAAAATTATAAGAACTCAAATTTCTCCCATGATTACATACTGATTTTTCGATAAGATTTTTTTTATCAGTTGAATATATGGTGCACAAAATGGTGATAGTTAAAAGTTCTTTATTCTCAGAGAGGTGATGTTTATCTTATATGGGTATGTAGATCCTTCGTGATTAAGAAACTCTTAACAGAATAGCTACACAGGCTTCTACTACTATTTCGATTATATCAATTTCTGTCCTCTTAACCCCATTTTCATTAGACTCTATTCAGATTGTTTAATGGAAAGTAAATCCTATGCATCTGCTCTTAATTAATTTAAATAGCATGTCTAGTACTGCATGGACTTAAGTATCATGTGTCAATTTATGACCAATATCTCTAGCTATATTTACCTAAGTTTTTATAAAAGACACATAACTCACAGAAAAGAAAAAATTATTCCAGCAAGAAATATGTAAGTTCTAAGGTGAGTGTAGTTATTTTACTAGTGTTGTTTTTTAAGGTTATATGTTAAAATAATGACCATAATTTCTTCCCTCAAAGAAGACGTAAACCTTTTGGGGAAGACAAAGCAGAGAAGTGTAAAATCAACACCAAGATTGCCAAAAAAACCTCCCAAGTATAGGAGTTTGTGAAGAAAAGAGTGAAATATGATTAATGAAAATAGGAGGGAAATAATCAGAGCAGAGATAGTCTGGGGAGAGAAGCCTTATGAAGAAAGGAATAATGGAGGTTCATCGTCAGGAGGAAGACTTTCAGGTGAATACTCTGTATGAAGTATATTTCACCATACAGAGGCGATTTTCCAGGCATTTAAAATGGAAAAGAACTACTAAGATTTATAGTTACGAATAATGTATGATAATTCTTATTATACCTTCCTAAATACCGTCGATGAAAGCTAAATCCTTATACTACTAGTATTAAATGCTAATTTCAATATGCTAATTTTATGAACTAGGAAATTATTAAAGGAATAAAAGAACTTCATTTGAGCACAGACTTTTAGACAATATTCTCAATTTTCGAAGGCAAATGAATAGGAACATATCTATAAAATTTGAGAGTCTGAATAGGATAATGGTACTTGTACACCTGCTGTGACTTAAAGGAAATGTGTTCTAAACACTTCATTGACATATAACAGTTAAACCTTGAGAAGTAGTACAAGCCAGAAATTAAGTCCAAGTTCAAGAATAATTTAGATAAATTCAATAAGCAAAAGTTAAGTGAAGGTAGGCCTGTCTGCAGGGGGTGTTTCTAACTTCTGAGTTGAAGAAAGGAATTGTAGCCTTCCAAAGACATTTGTTTTTTGTGATGCTTAGAAATGAATCCTGGACTTTGATAATCAGAAACAAAATTTAGTATGGTGTTTATTCTTACATAAAGAGGTTTCAGATATCTAGCATGTAGATGGCTAAATTAAACTTAAATAAAAAAAAAAAAAACTTCACCCCAATCCATACTTTATATCTTTTTAAAAATTTATTTTTATTGAAAATTGACAAATTATAGTTGTGTGTACTTATGGGGTACAAAATGATGTTTTACCTGATGAACACAATGTGGAATAATTAAATCAAAGCAAATTAAATATCCATCACCTCAAATACCTACTATTTTTTGCACTGAGAACATTTGAAATGTACTTTCTTAGCAAATTTGAAATGTATAGTACACTATTGTTAACTGAGGCTTTGTACCCTTTGACCATCATCTCCCCATTCCCCCCACCTCCAAGCCTCTGGTAACCACACTTTTACTTTCTGCTTCTGTGAATTTGATTGTTTTAGATTCCACATATACGTGGGAACATGCAGTGTTTGTTTTTTTCTGCCTGGCTTATTTCACATAGCATAATGTTCTCAACTTCCATTTATGTTGCCCCAAATGACAGGATGTTGTTCTTTTTTATGTCTGAATAGTATTACATTGTGTACATATACCACATTTTCTTGATCCATTTGTCTGCTCATGGACACTTAAATTGATTTCATAACTTGGCAATTGTGAATAGTGCTGCAATGAACATGGGAGCGAAGATATCTCTTCAACATAGTGATTTCAAATATTTGGGGTGAATACCCAGAAGTGGGATTGCTGGATCATGTAATAATTTTATTTTTAGGTTTTTGAGAAACCTTCATATGGTTTTCTATAATGGCTATACTAGTTTGCATTCCCACCAATAGTGTACAAGAGCTCCCTTTTCTCCACACATACTATGTATCTTAACATAAGTTAATTTATCAGGGTAATAAGTAATGAGCCTCCTTCTCGTTCGTAAGTCTGAATAACAAGGGAAAATTCTATTGTGAAAAACTCTGGATTGAAAAGAAATTCTCCTCAGACCAATTCTTTTTCTATAGCAAGCACACTTACAGCTATAAATTTATTTGTGGAAAGATATCTGTGGTGGTTTCATTATGTATTTGTTCTTATGAATAGTAAAATCTCTTTCATGAATGTATGTGTGTGTGTGTAGTACTGTATATAGAGCTCTCTTTGAAGTTTCTCACATTTTCTTAATTCATCTGAAAATGAAGTGAGTTGTCAGAAATTTCCATTCTTTAGAAAATACTACCCTTATCTTATTTATAGCTATTCTTTAGAAGAGACTGCTACTTGTTTCTCTAAACTAGAAATATACTATAGATAGAGGTTTACCCACTGAGGCTCTTTTGTGAAGTTTAATTTTAGTACAGGTGTTAGGTTATTTGTCTCTTTTCCAATTGGATTTTAGGTTTTGGTTTACTTTCCTATTTGGGGGACCAGATTTACACCCTATCACTCATTCACCTAGGAGCAAGAGTTTAAATAAGGTAACCAGGTTATAGCAGAAAGTGAGACACATATCTTTAGTACCTGGATATGAAGAAAATGTATGGTGTGTCAAATTGAACCTAACATATTATTTATTTTAAAAATTGAACTTTTTATTGTATATGTGTGTGCGTAGTGTGACTATGTAAATGTCAGTATATCTGCTTGTACTTTTTCATTCTCTTCCTTTGATTTTCTGGATAACATGATGTCTTTTTGAGGGCAAGAGCTGTCTTTCTACTTTTGCAACTCATTCAACCACTATACTATCTAGTGAGTTGTCAAATAATACTCATTGGATGTCTTATTTGAAAAGGAGCCTTCCCTCTGGATGAGTGGGTGCCTAGTTTTATAAAAGTAAACAAATGTATTAAAACTCTGGTCTCTTATGCTGTGATTTGTCATTCAAATTCTTAAAAACATGAGCTTTTCTAGAAAGAAGAAATAAGAGCCTCTAAGTTATTATTACCCAGAGAGTTTTTCAAGGTTTGCTTGAAATATCTTGGGTGTTTAGATCTCCATTGAAATCTAACACAGGGATATAAATAGAAAGGTTGGTATTATGTACACAAGCTCGTAAACTGTTCTGAATCTGTTAGTGAAGTCAATATTTATAGTCTATCATAAAAATTTTCTTTTTTAAACCAAAACCTATCAGCATTATAGCTCTTTCTCTAGAAGTGCCTAAGTGACAGCAATAGTGAAAGCAAAGTAGCTTTCTAGTTGTGTGAGGAGGAGAGATTGGTGGTTGTACCTTTGACAAGAATTTGCTTTAAGTATGAATAGAATGAAGGGCTGCAGATAGATTTATTCCTCGGGGTTATTTGGAAGGATTTAATAGAGGCAGATAATCCTAAAACACCTCTTCCTGACATAGCAGTTATGCCAAAGCCCAGATACATGGCACCCCAGTTCATAGGTGGCATGAAATGGCTTGTGCGAGCTGGTGGTCTTCCATTTGTATCCTTTATCCTTGTCTGCCAGCCCCAACTCTGCGCTCTCATTGTGGCATTGCACTAACTGAGCTGAGTGCAGCTCAGAGGAGAGGCAATTTTTCTTTTTCACTCTTGCCCTGTGGCCATCTCCAAGAAAAATTGATTTTTCTTCTCAAGAGATTCCTCTCCCCCAACATTTGCATCCACACATACCCTATTCACGATCACTCCAAAGTACTACCTCTCAGACGTGTTAAAATCCTTTGAAACTTTGATCATTATTCTTGAGAGCTGCCAGAATCACTAGTGAGAAGCAATTTTCCTATACCTGTTTTCCATTCAGTCTTGCATTTTTCTATGTTTGTTAATACGGGGTATTGCTACTCTGCATGTATGCAAACTCACTTTTAGTTGTCTTCAGGACGTTTGGTATGTACCTGTAGGATGGTCTCCATTTGGCTGGTTTGGCAAATATCCCAAATGCTGCCCCTAGGCAGGGTTTTCAAGATTGGTTGGAGACAGCTGTAAAATTTTGAAGCCGGCACATTTTGTCAAATTTTTTCTTTGAAACTCTTTCACTGTCCTCCCACACCTCATTTTATCTGTAGT